ATACACACTGACTTTTTTCCAAAAAAATTTCAAAATACCTCATCTACAATCAAATATCGAATGAGGCCAATATGTCATATGATACTTTTGCAATAATAATGCTCCACAAGACTTCTTCAAGAAAAACAGATTGGGCCAATAAGTTTGTTATAGGCCCATATACCAAATCGACCCATAAGAGTTTTAGACTACAAATGGGCCCATTAATTAATTTGGCCAGGAGATTGTGAGAATTAAGAACTCCCTCCTCTTTTCTCTAGCGAACTCTAGAAGACAGAGGAAACTCAACGAACAAATCCAGATAAATATCTTATTTACTTCTTCAAAAAATCCTCACTTTCCAAAAAAATCTCTATATACTTCTTCGATTCGTCGACCCAAGAACCCTAATCTTCTGATCTTGCAACAACTTCAATCCCCTCTTGTTAAAGATCTCTCCTTTGTTCAGGTTTGTGTCTTGTTTCTGAGCTCTCTTCGATTATGCACAACACTTTTTTTTTCATTTTGATTTTGTTTTTAGTACCGTAGTTCTCGATTGTTCCTGAATCGTAACCCCTTTCTTTGCTATGGTAACTGGATTGGACAATAGTTTCAGTTTGTGTTAGAATGTTCTTTAGTTTACTTTGAATGTTTTGATTGATGAAATGAAAACGAAGGTTAGTTAGTAAATTTACCACTAATCATTTGATTCAAAAGGAGAATTATTGATTTTGTTATGAATCTTGAATTATATGGAACTTGAAGTTGAATCTCTATGTTCAAATCTTGGAACTTGGATCTGGTTAAAATTGCAGGGAATAAATGGCAGAACCAGCATACACAGTAGCATCAGACAGCGAAAACACTAACGAGGAGAAATCATCATCATCTCCTTCGTTACCTGAAATTGCTGTTGGAATCGATATTGGTACTTCTCAATGCAGTATTGCGGTTTGGAATGGATCTCAAGTTCACATCTTGAGGAACACAAGAAACCAGAAACTCATCAAATCATTCGTCACTTTCAAAGACGAAGTCCCTGCAGGCGGTGTAAGCAACCAGCTCGCGCACGAGCAGGAAATGCTTACCGGAGCAGCTATCTTCAACATGAAACGACTCATCGGCCGTGTAGACACCGATCCCGTGGTTCACGCAAGCAAAAACCTTCCCTTTCTTGTTCAAACTCTTGACATTGGAGTCAGACCGTTCATTGCGGCGTTGGTTAACAATGCTTGGAGATCCACAACTCCGGAGGAAGTTTTAGCGATATTCCTTGTGGAATTACGTTTAATGGCTGAAACGCAGTTGAAGCGGCCTGTGAGAAACGTTGTGCTTACAGTTCCGGTTTCTTTCTCAAGGTTTCAGCTCACGCGGATTGAACGAGCTTGCGCTATGGCTGGACTTCATGTTCTTCGACTAATGCCTGAACCAACCGCAATCGCGTTGCTCTATGCGCAACAGCAGCAGATGGCTACACATGATAATATGGGAAGCGGAAACGAGAGGCTTGCGGTTATATTCAACATGGGTGCTGGTTACTGCGATGTTGCTGTTACTGCAACTGCTGGTGGTGTTTCGCAGATAAAATCATTGGCGGGAAACCCCATTGGAGGAGAAGACATTCTGCAGAACACAATTCGCCATATCGCTCCACCGAACGTGGAAGCTTCGAGTTTACTTCGTGTAGCAACGCAGGACGCGATCCACAGGCTGTCTGAACAAGACAACGTTCAGATCGAAGTGGATTTGGGAAATGGTAACAAGATTTCCAAGGTTCTTGATAGATTGGAGTTTGAGGAAGTGAACCAGAAGGCTTTCGCGGAATGCGAGAGACTTGTTGTGCAGTGTCTGCGAGATGCGAAAGTCGAGGTTGGTGATATCGACGATGTGATAATGGTAGGAGGGTGTTCTTACATACCGAAAGTAAGAAACATTCTCAAGAACGTATGCAAGAAAGATGAGATTTTCAAAGGCGTGAATCCCTTAGAAGCTGCGGTTAGAGGAGCTGCTCTGGAAGGTGCAGTGACTTCAGGGATTCACGATCCGTTTGGAAGCTTAGATCTCTTGACCATTCAAGCCACGGCTCTCGCGGTTGGAGTAAGAGCTAACGGAAACAATTTCATACCTGTAATTCCTCGTAACACTATGGTTCCAGCTCGGAAAGATCTCTTCTTCACGACAGTTCAGGACAACCAGAAGGAAGCTTTGATCATTGTATACGAAGGAGAAGGAGAGACAGTCGAAGAGAATCATCTTCTTGGGTATTTTAAGATCATTGGGATTCCGGCGGCACCTAAAGGTGTTCCAGAGATCAATGTTTGTATGGACATTGATGCCTCGAACGCTTTGCGGGTTTTCGCAGCTGTGTTGATGCCGGGATCTTCGAGTCCAGTGGTTCCAGTGATTGAAGTGAGGATGCCAACGGTTGATGATGGACATGGTTGGTGTGCTCAAGCTTTGAATGTGAAATATGGATCTGCTCTTGATTTGATTACTCTTCAGAGGAAGATGTAAGTTTTAAATAAAAATCCGGTTTGTGACAGATTTAAAATATGATGAGATGCAGTAATGTAACAATGTTTCTTGTGATATTTAGTATTTACATAGTTTGTGTGTGTTTTGGGTTTGTTTGTGTTCATATGTGTAATGGAG